GGATGAGGGACCGGCTATTAGCGAGATTATAAACTTGAACTAAAAGCGGGCGAGGCAAATTTCCAATGTAGTTTAATCATCTTTAGTAATAAACAATGGCGAAGCAGAGAGGAAATTGTCAGATACTGATGAAGAAAATTGAACTAAAATAGGGTTTGCTTTCAAAAACCACATATTTAGTCTCACAAAACGTACACACAGATAAATAATAATTTAAGATCAGTTTGTCATTATAATGCACACACCTGCCGAAGTAAACGGTAACTTTTCCCTTTTCTTTCGTTTAATATAAATTCAAATTCAAACATCATGCATTATTTATACTTAAACAGAATCGGTAATTCCGTATCCCGAATGGTCAGTTGGACGATATTTAGTTTTCCTGTGAAGAGGAAGACATTATCATTTCCGTTTCTAAATTTCCCAGTGGATTATACGCTTACATGTACACAAATCATAAAATTTCCGTATTTTATTGCCGTTATTACGTACAAAAGCGTTTTAGAAACTCGATATTATCAAAGTGAACAGAATATCATGTATTTCAAGCGTTAGACAAGTTGAAATACCATAGCAAGACCTTATCCAACTCTTAAAATGCTTTAGTAGCAGTATATACCCACTAGGTGGCGATACACTGCCTGTATTTGAACATTACATTTACTCGCTCTTTAGAAGCATTTTGGTTTGGTCTGTAATTTATCGAGACTTCTTGTAGTGTGCTGAAGAGGTCAAATAATATCGAAATTACGAAATTTTTGACCAAGAACTTCAAAAGTTGGAATAATTTTTCAAATTTGTAAAAGTATTAAGAACTAAAGCTACTTATTTGCTAGGTGCTTGCTACATTTTACGTAAGATAATTGTAACTGTAATATAGATTACATCGGTCAAGCAAGAAGGCTTCTCTTTACGAGTTTTAAGGAACACAAAAACGATCAGAGAGAACAAATCATCGAGTGTTTTGTATTAAACATTATAGAGTTTATAATAAGAGCAATCGATCAAAACGAGAGCAACTAAGGAAATTAAACTTCACTACTTATTAGAAGAATTTGAAAATGTAATTTGATTATTATAAATTCGAAGCCTGAAACGCTAATTAAACTGCGTAAGGAAAGAAGGGCTAATGAAATGTCAAGGCACGAAGTCGTTGATTAATGAAAGAGGGAGAGCGACGTGTCGGGCCGCGTAAACCAGACAAGGACGGGGAGAATCGAGAAAGAGGTATTGCTTTGCAAAGACGAGAGTTGGTGATAGAATTAAACACGCTAGCTTCCAATTACATTGTCCACGAACTTAAAACTTGATGAAGATTAAAAACAAGTGAAACATCACAGTTGGAGGAAAAGCTTGTTTGATTAAATTCATTCGAAAAGAAAAACCTGTTTCACTCAGTTAATGAGAAAGTAAAATATTTTCTAATTTGGCGGACTGGAACTTGAATAAAAAAAGGAAAACGATTTGGATAATCATCTTCATTTTGTACTAAACAAATCGAAAAGAAGAAAAATCATTCTAATGCAAATTTGTCCTTCGCGATGAGGCATTTGAAATTACTTCTTCTTTATTACCTTGTCGGTTATACTCTGATTTCATAATCGATCAGCATTGGATCAAGTTCTACTTTTTCGAGGTGATTTTACTAAGGAAGCAGCTTCAACCGGCTACGGTCTTTAAACCCGAATCAGAATTTTAATTAATAAACAATTAATATACTATATTCATAATCAGATTCAAGTTTCAAACGTTTCTGTGGGAAATAAATCGAAAGCCTCGAGGTACATGTTTAAATAAGAAGCAGGCAAATTAGTTCCTTCATTTAACAAAATGACAGACACAGTAACTCAATTTATTTTCTTCAATTTTTTAAAACGAGTTAAACTTACGCTTAGATACACCAATGGTTAACATTAATAATAACGCAAATGGTAGTTGTATCACGTTGATCTGCTTGTGACTTCGTTTTGAAACTTGCACAATCTGTCAAACAAAAATAACTAAGTATTAATTTGTACATATATTTATCAGTAAGTTCATCAGCCTCGTCAGTAGAACGAACCTTGGTGAAGTTTTTGGACTGAATATTTTACGATGATCATTCATTCTCGTAGAGTTTTATTGATTTAAAGGTTCCGAACCTAGAGAGCACAACGGAACCCTATTGTTGTATCTTTCTGGTAGAGGTTTCTACTGAACTTCTAAAAGAAATAAGACTTGAAAGTACTACCTATGTATGCAAATCTACGACCTACACAGATTGTATTCAATGATATACAACCTAAAATACAACTTTATTTCAAGGGGATAGGTAAACATGCAAACAAAGGGTAAGAGGTTTCAATTTTGCCTAAGCACTGGAGGCGGGTGGTCAAAAATCGATTTGCGTTTTGTTTTTTCTTTCAAAAAAGCCGAATTAAAAGCACGCTATTTAAATTGCAAATGTGAGTTTTTTTTTAATTTATTTACCGCCGCCGCCCCGCCGTATCGATTGAGTTAAGAACCCTATAGGATTTTCCTGTCGTATTAATCGTCAGTTTCCTTTCAAGCATTCTTAATTGTGCCATTAAGATAATAATTCCAATTAAAATATAAATTGCATGAGGTAAATAATGGCCTGTCGTTTAAGTAACGAGTAGCAGCGACAACGATCGCGAGGACTTCTTTTTACCAGCCCGAATATTTAATACAATATTACCATCGCAAGACTGCGAAAAAGGAATTATGTATTATTAAATGATTAATGGACGTGGTTTTACGCCGTGCACTTTCCATTCTGACAGTGCGATAACCGAAGAAATTAATTAAAAAGCCGCAACGGCATCAACCTTTTATAAAATATCAATGGTTAGTTTGTAATTACCNATTACGATGTTTACTTAAGGCCTTAAATAAAGTATTTTTGCGTACTTTATGTGTCTTGTAAAGTATAACGTACGCACAATCGAAATAGAGTACAATACTTTATAATAAAGTACGGGTGGCAACCCTAGTACTCTTATAAATGGAAGTACATACCATATACGTTTTAGTTTTGGTGACGTTGTCAATAATATTATAATCGTTTTACATCAAATATTTTAAAAGTTTAACTAAAGTGTATGTATATACATGCAACCAATTGTACATCAGAATGTAAACGTTTAAAACCGCCTAGTTATTAGCAATAGTTCAGTTTTCATTGGTTAATACCTGACCTACTCTATCGTCCTTCTTCCTGACAACTGTAGATACATCATAGAACACTTTTGAAACAATACATATTAAGACGGTTATAAAGATCTTTTAATTTCTAATGGAGATTATCAATAAATGTGGATAAAACATGTATGACTACAAAAAAGTCTGAATGTAACAGATTAAGTGAAAGTAGAACCAACAAAAACATAATCTTTTGCTTATCAGACTGACACCTTCTTCAATACTTTGAGAAATTGTTACCTAATGGATTATCTTATTGTACCCCTTTTCTCTTTGATTGCTACAGTAGCAGTTCGTTGTAGATGTAGATGTAGATTGTAGACGCATCAATAGCATAAGCGTCGCGCAGTCGTCAACGAAATAAATGAAGTAAATAGAAATTGTGTACAGAGCACTTTAAAATACGGATGTGCAAATAAACGACAATTTGTATTGACACAAGGGGGCTCGCGATGGGCGAGGACGAGAGGGGTGAAGACACGACGACGACAAACACTCTTATTTTCGTGAACAAATAATGGGTTATTTGCGCTAACTAGTAGCATTATACTCTCAGAGCGAGTGAGCCATACGTTACAAAGGGGACGACACGCAAATACATGAGAGAGCGCGAGAATTACAACCATCAGCCGTCTTCTATTTATCCACGGCCTAATTAGTTAAATACTCTCGTTAACGCTTCTGCCGCTGTTGCTGACTCAAGGGCCGAAGGACCTTTCCGGAATTATCCGTGCTCCCGCCGTCCACCCCTCTTGCGGCCCCCGCGCCACTTCCAACGAACGAACCTGGCCCTCCGCTAACGATTCCAAGACAAAGGATTCGCTAATTAGCATGCCAAATTAATTAAGCCAATTACTACTATTGGAAATCACTAGTGCCGTTTATTATGGGGAGAGTGCTCTCAACGAGCAACCCCTCTTTACCAGAATCCCGAACAAACCCATTTGAGAAATCAATATTGTCTCAGAGAAATATTATTACCTATGGCAAACTAAAATCAATCTCAATAAATTTTATCGTTCATCGGTAGCATCTAACCTGCGCGACTTCGTACGTCTGAAACTGTTTTAAGTTGTTTATACCTATTAAAAGCAATTGTTATAACCATTAAACAATTAAAAAGAGTAGCATATATCGCTTCTGATAACATTCTGTTACTGTACTGTACAGTTCGTTGGAAATTCGAAAACGATTATATAAACCGTCGAAAGCAGAAGTCAAAAATCATGCGGATGTTCTGCAGTTGCAGAAGTGCACGAAATATCTCCGCTGTATACCATTCAGTACGTGAATCCAATTCGTTTTATATTTATGATAATTACCCGGTTCCTACGATGAATTACACGGTTATTATTGTCTTCAACCCGTATGTATTATACAAGGCGTCAAGAACACTTTGATATATAATATGCGTATATAACAGTGAGTATATCACAAACAAATCGCAATTCTAAAAAGTTACTAAAAAGACTGTTATCTAAAGAAGTTTTCGATCTAAAAATAAAACAAATAACTGAAAGACTTTAAATGGCAGGAAACAGAAATGAAAGTGGCGAGAAGATAAAATGTTCACTTCGATCATTGGCTTGATTAAAAATAAAAATCGTCACCCTTAGACAGGATTGTGTTAGAGACTTGCTGGACACCCTGTAGATATCCGCGAGACACCATATCGAATTGCATGTTACCTATTTAGCTGATAAAAATCAACCCGCATTATGAAGGTAAAGGCGCAACTGTTAAATTGATACACAAGCAGGATGTTGGTCATTATAAATTATTGTGTTTAATTTTTACAGGGCCGGACTGTACAATTTCAGTCATGCGGCGAACGTACAGAATCCTGTGAGCTCTTGGCAGTCAATTCGAGCATGCACAGTACGGACAATGGGCATGGTAAGTGCAAAATTTATTCAGTTTGTCTGGAGAAATAAGAAAAGTATATTCTTTTTACTCAACAAATACGAAATATCATCGGAACAAATGCCATTGGCTATCTAATATTGAAAACCAATTAAATTTTCATTCGCGATCTTTCCTTTTCTGACATCTTCTACGTCGTGAATCGTGGGATTATTTGATATTTCCGAATATTTATGATTTTGCCCGTTCGCCGAAGCGGCAAATCCTTACGGCAGACGAGAGGGGACTGTCATTCCTGTATCTCCGAATAGTCGGACACTTTTCTTCAAGCGGGAGAAACGCTCACGAACCGTTAGATCTGTATAAATTCATGTATATACGAGACTGGCTATAAATTCTTCCGTTTTAAGGACATTTACCCGATTTTACATCAACTTTTCGTAGCCGATCCTATCCCCACCTTTTGCTTACGTTAGAAACTACAAATTCTCTCGTCTTCATATCCTGACCACTTCTTTACAATGACCACAATCTCTTCGAGATAGAGACACTATTTTATGTAACAAATGAATTTAATCGAAAACAAGAACAATGGTGAATGCGCCAGGACTACTACATTTATACATATTTATCTATCTATGTAAAAGAAAGTCGTGTTAGTTATACTATTCATATCTCAAAAACGGCTGAAGCGATTTGGCTGAAAATTGGTGGGGAGGTACCTTAGAACCAGGACACGGACATAGAATATCTTCTTTATTCCGTTCCCATGGAACATGACATAAAAAGTGGTATAAGAAAACGCAACTGTCATGGAATAACAAAACGTAACTGGCAGCAAAACGAAAAATTTATCAGTCAAAACATCATTTGTTCATTTATTAAAAATGGTATAACAAAAATTTAATCTTACTTGAAACTTGGTCTTAATGGTCTCTCATTTAATTTCTGAAAGACCTATCTCGAAAGGTGTTGTAATTTTTGTTTGGGACATACTTTATTTGTGGTTGAATTGACTTGAAACTTGGTATAAATGCCGTTTGATATTATTAATCAAATAAAAAGAGGTTGCAACGTTTCCATGGGGTATATTTTATTTGTACTCGGATTTACTCGAAGGTTGCTCATTGTTGAAATTAAGCAAATACATGTTTTGGCAATTTAAAAATCAACCCTTAAGAATGAAACGTTGTTGCTACTGTTGTATTTGAGATCTAAGATAGTAACATTATATAAAATTAAAACGTTGTAAGGGTAAATTTGGAGTTAAAAGGTTTTATGGAGAAACAATATTAATTTCTGCGAGCGAAGCCGCGGGGGAAAGCTAGTCTTTATATAAAAGAATAAACTGACTGACTGATATATCAATAATGTACATTCCAAACTACAAGATATGAAATTTTGCCCAGACGCTACTTATATGACGCATTAAGAAAGGATTCTTCGAAATTCAACCCCTACTCTTTCTGTAAATGCTGAAGTGGCCGGAACGGACAGCAAAAGTGACACTACTTTGAACAGATTTGGGAAATCACGTTGTTCCGTAAATATGGCTTTTCATTTTTCTGTGCAAAATTATTGATGTAAAAATACTCTGAATTTCGAATAATCGCTTACAAAATTACGATGTTTACTTAAGGCCTTAAATAAAGTATTTTTGCGTACTTTACGTGTCTTGAAAAGTATAACGTACGCACAATCGAAATAGAGTACAATACTTTATAATAAAGTACGGGTGGCAACCCTAGTACTCTTATAAATGGAAGTACATACCATATACGTTTTAGTTTTGGTGACGTTGTCAATAATATTATAATCGTTTTACATCAAATATTTTAAAAGTTTAACTAAAGTGTATGTATATACATGCAACCAATTGTACATCAGAATGTAAACGTTTAAAACCGCCTAGTTATTAGCAATAGTTCAGTTTTCATTGGTTAATACCTGACCTACTCTATCGTCCTTCTTCCTGACAACTGTAGATACATCATAGAACACTTTTGAAACAATACATATTAAGACGGTTATAAAGATCTTTTAATTTCTAATGGAGATTATCAATAAATGTGGGTAAAACATGTATGACTACAAAAAAGTCTGAATGTAACAGATTAAGTGAAAGTAGAACCAACAAAAACATAATCTTTTGCTTATCAGACTGACACCTTCTTCAATACTTTGAGAAATTGTTACCTAATGGATTATCTTATTGTACCCCTTTTCTCTTTGATTGCTACAGTAGCAGTTCGTTGTAGATGTAGATGTAGATTGTAGACGCATCAATAGCATAAGCGTCGCGCAGTCGTCAACGAAATAAATGAAGTAAATAGAAATTGTGTACAGAGCACTTTAAAATACGGATGTGCAAATAAACGACAATTTGTATTGACACAAGGGGGCTCGCGATGGGCGAGGACGAGAGGGGTGAAGACACGACGACGACAAACACTCTTATTTTCGTGAACAAATAATGGGTTATTTGCGCTAACTAGTAGCATTATACTCTCAGAGCGAGTGAGCCATACGTTACAAAGGGGACGACACGCAAATACATGAGAGAGCGCGAGAATTACAACCATCAGCCGTCTTCTATTTATCCACGGCCTAATTAGTTAAATACTCTCGTTAACGCTTCTGCCGCTGTTGCTGACTCAAGGGCCGAAGGACCTTTCCGGAATTATCCGTGCTCCCGCCGTCCACCCCTCTTGCGGCCCCCGCGCCACTTCCAACGAACGAACCTGGCCCTCCGCTAACGATTCCAAGACAAAGGATTCGCTAATTAGCATGCCAAATTAATTAAGCCAATTACTACTATTGGAAATCACTAGTGCCGTTTATTATGGGGAGAGTGCTCTCAACGAGCAACCCCTCTTTACCAGAATCCCGAACAAACCCATTTGAGAAATCAATATTGTCTCAGAGAAATATTATTACCTATGGCAAACTAAAATCAATCTCAATAAATTTTATCGTTCATCGGTAGCATCTAACCTGCGCGACTTCGTACGTCTGAAACTGTTTTAAGTTGTTTATACCTATTAAAAGCAATTGTTATAACCATTAAACAATTAAAAAGAGTAGCATATATCGCTTCTGATAACATTCTGTTACTGTACTGTACAGTTCGTTGGAAATTCGAAAACGATTATATAAACCGTCGAAAGCAGAAGTCAAAAATCATGCGGATGTTCTGCAGTTGCAGAAGTGCACGAAATATCTCCGCTGTATACCATTCAGTACGTGAATCCAATTCGTTTTATATTTATGATAATTACCCGGTTCCTACGATGAATTACACGGTTATTATTGTCTTCAACCCGTATGTATTATACAAGGCGTCAAGAACACTTTGATATATAATATGCGTATATAACAGTGAGTATATCACAAACAAATCGCAATTCTAAAAAGTTACTAAAAAGACTGTTATCTAAAGAAGTTTTCGATCTAAAAATAAAACAAATAACTGAAAGACTTTAAATGGCAGGAAACAGAAATGAAAGTGGCGAGAAGATAAAATGTTCACTTCGATCATTGGCTTGATTAAAAATAAAAATCGTCACCCTTAGACAGGATTGTGTTAGAGACTTGCTGGACACCCTGTAGATATCCGCGAGACACCATATCGAATTGCATGTTACCTATTTAGCTGATAAAAATCAACCCGCATTATGAAGGTAAAGGCGCAACTGTTAAATTGATACACAAGCAGGATGTTGGTCATTATAAATTATTGTGTTTAATTTTTACAGGGCCGGACTGTACAATTTCAGTCATGCGGCGAACGTACAGAATCCTGTGAGCTCTTGGCAGTCAATTCGAGCATGCACAGTACGGACAATGGGCATGGTAAGTGCAAAATTTATTCAGTTTGTCTGGAGAAATAAGAAAAGTATATTCTTTTTACTCAACAAATACGAAATATCATCGGAACAAATGCCATTGGCTATCTAATATTGAAAACCAATTAAATTTTCATTCGCGATCTTTCCTTTTCTGACATCTTCTACGTCGTGAATCGTGGGATTATTTGATATTTCCGAATATTTATGATTTTGCCCGTTCGCCGAAGCGGCAAATCCTTACGGCAGACGAGAGGGGACTGTCATTCCTGTATCTCCGAATAGTCGGACACTTTTCTTCAAGCGGGAGAAACGCTCACGAACCGTTAGATCTGTATAAATTCATGTATATACGAGACTGGCTATAAATTCTTCCGTTTTAAGGACATTTACCCGATTTTACATCAACTTTTCGTAGCCGATCCTATCCCCACCTTTTGCTTACGTTAGAAACTACAAATTCTCTCGTCTTCATATCCTGACCACTTCTTTACAATGACCACAATCTCTTCGAGATAGAGACACTATTTTATGTAACAAATGAATTTAATCGAAAACAAGAACAATGGTGAATGCGCCAGGACTACTACATTTATACATATTTATCTATCTATGTAAAAGAAAGTCGTGTTAGTTATACTATTCATATCTCAAAAACGGCTGAAGCGATTTGGCTGAAAATTGGTGGGGAGGTACCTTAGAACCAGGACACGGACATAGAATATCTTCTTTATTCCGTTCCCATGGAACATGACATAAAAAGTGGTATAAGAAAACGCAACTGTCATGGAATAACAAAACGTAACTGGCAGCAAAACGAAAAATTTATCAGTCAAAACATCATTTGTTCATTTATTAAAAATGGTATAACAAAAATTTAATCTTACTTGAAACTTGGTCTTAATGGTCTCTCATTTAATTTCTGAAAGACCTATCTCGAAAGGTGTTGTAATTTTTGTTTGGGACATACTTTATTTGTGGTTGAATTGACTTGAAACTTGGTATAAATGCCGTTTGATATTATTAATCAAATAAAAAGAGGTTGCAACGTTTCCATGGGGTATATTTTATTTGTACTCGGATTTACTCGAAGGTTGCTCATTGTTGAAATTAAGCAAATACATGTTTTGGCAATTTAAAAATCAACCCTTAAGAATGAAACGTTGTTGCTACTGTTGTATTTGAGAT